TGCTATTGCTTTTAAAATTAAAATCCAGTTCAGGGATTTTTGTATGCTCCCTGTCGCAGGGCTCATTATTGAGTCAGTTCCATTTAACTTTAGCAGCTTGAGCTGTCAAGAGTGGCTGCAGCAGACAAGGTAAGTAATATTTTACTGGTTATTGGACCAAGAAATAATTTGTAATTTATAATATACACAAACATTTGGACTGAAAAAGCCATTCTGGTGCAATGGTCCATTAATACTGTTTGTTTTCAAGACATGCAGCACTGATCTCAATTCATGACAAACTCAACAAAACAAACAACTAGAACTTGTCAGCAAAACTGAGACTGCTGACACCAATTGCTTTCAAATTTGGATTTTTACATTTGAGTCCCATGGCACTTAAAGATACTTCTCTTGAGAATCTAATGACTATCAGTTTAATTATTTAACTAGTGAAATTACTTAACGTAATATCTAATAAAGGAAATAGCCCACTTATTTGACCACTATTATTTTGAATAAACAGGCAGATTATTCACTTTGTGCAACTTTACCATGACCTCCTTCTCTACTGTGGAATGTTTCTTCTCAAATCGCAGACTGTAGACACACCACCCTGAGATTGGATCCTGCACAGTCTGTTAAAGGCTGTCCAGTAAGAGCTATTTGAGCAAGGATTTGCCTCTGCTATTCGATTTAGTGAAGTGAGAGTCCGCTGTAGTTTTACTTTATTGAATGCTGTAGCTCTTTCTCATCACCTAATTCATTTTTACAGGCAGACATTCACCAACTCAATCCACTTAGGAATATAAAGACATTCCTGAGAAGACTATATTACCAGCACATCACAGCCACTGTTTAGTACTGTAGACTTTACTCATTCACTGTCTGCTTAAAATCAAGCTTAAGTAGCACCTTGTTGCTTTTTCCTCATTCACTGAAAATTATTGGATTTACATGTCAAGATGATGCCTGCATCAGTTTTTTCTCCCACATGTTGTTTTCTCAAGCTATGCCAGCCTAGTGTGAGGAAAAAATATAACTATTTGTACAAGAAAGCAATCATTTAAGTATGTTTTGTCCTCATAAGAACTCTAATAAGGGAAATAAAATAACTGCAACAGCTGCCTTTACTAACTACAGTGATCAGCTGGGTGAAAAAAAGTATTCAAAAGAAGTTTTTTCTTTTTTACTTGAGCTTAAACAAGATACTGAGTATCTGAGATTTTGCTATCATTCTGCCTTTCCCAGATAGGCTGCTTAATCTGTAATAAGATACAACAATCCTTTTTGACTCCCTTCTAAAATGGAAATACACCAATGTGGCACAATTAACTGGAGGTATTCAGTTATGAGACAGAATGAGAGAATGAATTATATTAAAATTATCCAGTGGAAAATATCTTGATAATGCAAGGGAGTTTATTATTTATGATTTCATTGGCTCCTGGTTTGCTCCTTATCTGAAACTGTGCATCTTTGTCACATCAACTGCTTTTAGGAAAAATAGTAACTTTAGTAATAAGATATACTATAACAGTTGGCATTTGGCACTTAAAAAAAAATCTTTCCTTAGATGCCAGCAAAACAAAAGATGAATACAGGCAAACAGACAGCAGAAACTAGAATCACTTCTGAAGCATGAGTAAGGACATCACTTTTCTAAGAAAGTAAAGAATAAGTAGAGATGTTATCTAAATTGATTCTGAAGGAGCAGATTCATTTAACTCCATGCCTCTAGGTGCTATCAGGAAAACATGTAGAAATCATAGATGTATGGTAAAAAAAAAAAAACAAACAAAAAACCTGCAAATCTTTAATCTTATTGTAATGCTGCAGGCCTAATAATATCAAGCACTAACTTGCTGAGGGGTAAAAATGCAATTGAGAACATTGTATCTTAAGTGACATATTTTAGAATCATACAATATCACTGAATCTAACTCCTGACTCCTCACAGTCCTAAGAGGACCTCACCACCTGCTCAAATACAGACAATTAAAGTATTTTTCTTATTCAAAAGTTGTCTCCTTACTTTTGTACCGTGTTTTCAACACATCTGTTGGGCTCATTAGTATAGACTTTGTTAGTTATCTGCTTCTAATCACATGACTTCTAAGTGTTTACAAGAGTGTTTATTAGGGTTTACAGCTTCAACCACATTCCACAGAGATCAAAAGGAGCCTTTCATCAAGGTATGAGGACATCAAGCCTGCCTGTGATCTTAAGTAGCTATATCCCATCCTTGAGCTAAGTTGTTAGAGATCAGACTCCATTTCTGCATGTACTTAGGCTGTCATTTTCTGTGATCTACCTTTCAGCAAAAACTTGAACTTTCATTGTCTCTCCAAAGACAAGCATCTTAATTCAGAACCAATTATGAGGTAAAAGATTTCCAGATTATAAGGACAGACAAAAATATTTTGAGCATGTAGTCTGACCTCCAGCCTGACCCACGCTGCAGTAGTTCCCTGAGAAAGTATTGAGTTACTAAATAAACTGAAATGATTGTCTTGTTGAAGTCTGTGTTGAAATTTCTACTTGCCTTGGCTTTTTGGTTTGGCTACTGTTGTTTGCAGTCTCTCATACACTAAGACAAACACTGCAACTAGACTGCAAACTGTCTTTTAAAATCTTTTGTTGCATATTTTACCAATAAATATTTTAACAGCAGCCCCTGCAAACAGCGCAGCTTGCACACCAACACCATTCAAATATCACTCTCAAATCTGCTGCCGAGACTATGAAAAAAATCCTAATTCCACAATTTTTGTGCTTTGATGGCAATACAGTTTTGTACTGATTGCTCCACATTAGAAGAATTTTAAACATTTTAAACACCTCGAAATTCCAAATCCCTAGAAAAGCAATTCAAATGAAACTCCTAATTGGTCTGCAGTAAGTGTAAGGGTATAGCCAAAAATATGCCTCCATGTGCAACATTAAGTGGAAATTTTAGTGTGCCACTAGCACTGGAAGCAGAGACAAGACTGATGAGTTGAAACAGTCATTAAAACAAATAAGCAAGCAACAAACACTGAATAATCTGATGCCAGTGTTCAAGTTATAATTTAACAAGCACAGATGCTGAGTTATATTATTGTTTGCTTTTCATATACTTTACAAATTATTTTGCATTTTTGTATTAGTACAAACTAGGCAGAAGCTCTCTCTGATATATTAGATGATATGCACCTTAGGGGAGCTTCCTCCTCCCCTGTCTGTTGACTGTTCTTTTAATCATAAGTTCGTTGACGGTCCACTCAGTGCTTGGGCTGGGCTAGCAAGAGACAAATCATTTCACTTCAGAAAACTATTAATCTTGGTGGCACTGTGCTTGTGTGCCATGATTTACTAAAACAAAATAACCTCATAGTGCTCAACTTAAAATTAGACACCAGTCTCACATAATGGTATACATTTACTTATATGATAAAGCAATTGAATCATGAGGATTCATTAGTAACAGAGGGAACAGTTGTACTATGAGAGGTCAAATTGATGACTACTGAAATGTTTTCACTGCTGTAAAATGCACACAAATTCTTTTGGGGAAAGATAGCTGTATTAAAGTATTTAATTATAGTATTGCCAAGATCAGGTGATTTAAAATTAGGCCATCAGCCCTACATGTCATCATATTAGTGAAAATAGAGACGAACTGTACATCAAAACCAAATAATTAAAAATCAATACGAATTTCCCTTCTTTACCAGTTCCTCACCTCAGCTGCTCTTCTAAAAAGGACATCCTCACTTTCCATTATACAGCACGGGCAGGTATTGGTGCTATAGTCTTAACTAATCTTCTAGGGGATATTGACCCATACCAGGAATAGTTTACTTTTTGGTGTAATTCAGAACTGGGCAAACTTACAATCTGAAGGCATTTACTGATTGATGTTCTACCTGAATCTAGTGACTTTCATATCATTAAACTATTTTATTACATGATCAGTTAGCCTTCACATTCTAAAATTCCAGAATTATGCCTATTTAAAATAAATATGGTGAATACAGAAAAAAAAGTGAGCTATACCTGCATTTTGTAGAAATCTACACCAGTCAAATGTTTCAATGGGAGTAGTCCTGATTCCTGTGTTGAAGAAAAGAGAAATATGACATGTTTGTTTCTTGGATGGCTGAACCATGCCTCTTAAGGTCTTGCTATAAGAAAACATATTAACATATTCCTCTCAAGCACACCTCATTTCATACACAACAATACAGGCAATGGCAAAGAGTTCGACTTCAGAGGAGTCAGCATTTCAAACCAAGACCCATTTCAGCAAAACATTTCCAGAGAAAAGAAGATAGATACATAAACATAGAGGTACTAAATATATTAACTAAATAAATTGAATGCATTAGTAAATATTTCAAAACACTCACCTTGATATTGGACATATATTTTCTGGCTAGCATCTGGCTTCAAAGAGAAGGAGAAGAAAAGTGATTTATAGTTCATCATAAAAGATCTGCTCAGTCTTTACAAAAAAATCAAGTATAACAATATGCTCATCAGGGTGATTTTCTTTTCACAAGACAGATCATTAGAAAGTAATATTTTAATAAGACTAAAAGCCAACAAAATCAAAACTTTAAATTACATTTACAACAAAAATTTACAGTGTAAAGGGATCAGTTTTGTAATTAACATGATTACCAGGTCAGTAGAAGCACGTTTTTTTAGTTTAGCTCTGTGTACTTTCTCATAATCATTAACTTGATAAATGGCACAGAAAAAGAAAATATGTTCAATTACAGAACAGCCCTAGCTCTCAAAAACACTGGTTTTCAAATAAAAAGCACAGCTAGTTTTAGAACCACAGACACATCTATCCGTAATAGAAGTTTAAAACACATCAAGCATGAATCCAGCCCTTCTTACCACTAACCTTTTCAAAGGCTGCTGCCAAATATACGTAAGACTTGTCTATACAGGAACATGGGCCAGGAGTGGTTACTGCAGTTATTCCCAAATAAGAATTGCACATGAAATTATTTTAAAATAGATATAGTAAAAGTGGTAATTGCAACACTTCCAACGTTTCTCCTGAAGAGTGAGTACACTAGTAATTTAGCATATTATTAAACAAACTAGTTCTTACTTCATTGCCTTTCTGTAACTCCAACCATGAACTTGTGGAATATGAAACTTTCTTTAAAAAAAAAAAAAAAAAAAAAAACCAAAAAACAACAAAAAAAGAAATGTTCTCGGGATCTTTCGAAAAGGACAACAAAACAGAACAAAAACTAACAACCGAATGCACTCTTCCCCTCCAGCAAAAAAAGCACAGTTTCTTTGAGTTCAATTGTAAACAGTCTGCGTTCAGACAATTCCTACTTCTTTTAAAAGCACTGGTTGCCTTAGGAGTAAGGTAGGGAATTGCTCAACTCACTCATTCTCCAACAAATTTGCTCAATATTACCTTGCAAGTTTCAGTTTGAAATCACATTCTTTCAAGCAGTTCTAATGACACTATTGCTTAGTGTACCATCTCGGAGTCCCAAAACAACCTTTGCTAGAACATCAGTCTTTGCTGACTTAGGGCTAAATGCTCTTTGCTACCATTTCACCATGGAGAGAAGCACAGTCCCCCCAACAGACTGACTCAGTGAGTCACAGAGGATCTGACTATTGTGCCTCTTTTTAAGGTGCTAATGGGAAAAAGAGTCCCATATTGCCCCTCCAACCACCCTGCTTTTGAACAGTGGGAAATGGCCAACACAGATGATGCACTGCTGAACTCCTCAAGCTAAGAACTGCTATGCAGACTTGTCTCAGTGTGGTGGCATAATGCAGGTACAGTTACATGAGGTAGAGCACGACGCTGCTGGATCACATCACTCTGCACATTAGTTTTCCCTTCTCCTCTCCCATCTCCACTCCAACCTCAGCACTGTGAAATCACATCCGAAGGATGACTTCAGGGTAGGAAGAAAAAACAAAAATTAATGCAGAAACAAACTACTAAAGCAACAAATTCCTGAACCAGTCCACTCAGGAAATAAGTCAAAGTAGTGGCGACTTTTTTTATTCTTCCACTTGAAGGCATTTTGTGAGGATTTTTTAATTCAGAATTTCTACATGACTGCCCCTACAGTTCACTGCTTGGTCATAACAGTCTATTTTAGTTATTAAAGATGTACTGGAGAAAGAAAAATAGTAAAAGAAATGGACAGAAAAGGGGTCAGGAAGAAGTGAATAGTCATCAACAAGCAGCTCACAGATGGGAAGAGGACAGTTCCAGAGAATCAGAGAATCCAGAGTGAATCAGCCACATCACAAAAACAACGTGAGCAAGCAGGTCCAGTAATAAATGAAGTGGGAAAAATGTAATGCTGTTTATGTTACAGTAGAAGACTGAGGACATCTTTCAAAAGACAAATGAACTTTTGTGATCCAACAATTTAAAAAATAAAGAAGATGGTTTCATATGTTGTTTCATTACTTAATACTTCTTGGCTTTTTATTATTATTATTTTTTTTTTTTAACTGTGAATAAGTACCATTTTAAATTAAATTGGATTTTTCAATCCAAAAAAAACCTTGCTAATGATGGAGACAGCACTGCAAGCTGAAGGACAATTAATTTTTTGGACAAGTGGAAGAGCTGAAATTCAGAGCTAGGAGTTAAGAAGCAACAAAAGAAAAAGTGGAAAGAAGGTAGATGGGGCAGGGGGCAGATTAAGCCAGCCTTGTCTCTATAGCTGACATACTGCATAATCCTGCCTCAGACTTTGGGGCTTAAAGATAAGTTTTTTACTTCTCTAAAACTGTTACATTTCAAAAATAAGCGGAAATTAATTAATTATTTGGTTTCATGCTCTGCAAGACCCTTAATGACTATGCAGTAACTAAATACATTCCTGCCAAGGCTGGGATCATCAAGAAGAAAAGAGTAGAAATTGTGTAACACAGAGTACAGATATATTCACATGTTATAGATCAATTTTATGTTATACTCTTTATTTCAAATGGTAGTAGGGAGAGTAGAAAAATGAAATTGAATACCAATAAAACTGGCTTAGGTAATTCTTAGGTACCAATTTTACACTATTGACATAAAACACTGACCATAAGCACAAGATGTTTGAAAGTATTTCACACTTACTTAGAATACAGATTATTACAGAAGCTGTATTATGCAATTCATAATTAAGGATAATTTATCCAATGTAATAGGAAAGAAGTTGATGGAAGATACAGGCCTCGTGCTCAGTGGTATTGCTTACATGTTTGTAATGTGAATTATTGGCTAATTAATAAAGCACACATTATAGGAATAATGTATATCACATTAGGGTGAATTAATATGTAAAGAGTGGTAATATTCTGTGAGCTATGTTATGGAAAGCTGTATTTATGCTTTTCAGTGTTTGAAAGAAAATGTATGACACTTGCTCTCACCCTTTATACGAAGATACAGATATGAGGATCAAGTCCAATTCCTGACTCCATACAAGGCAACCTAAGAATTTCTCATCACTGGTTCAACTATAGGAAATAAAAATGTGTTTCTTACTGATATTTCACAAGATAAGGTGAGTTAATAGGGCAGTCCTGACCTGCTCATTTTATCCCAGTTGTCCCTTATTGGTGGAAAACTAATAAGTATGCCAAAAAAACCCCAACATCTGGGCTAATGAGGCAGTGCTGCCTCATGCTACCCAAAAGCACTTGTACTAAGATGTCTGACAGCTCCTCATTGCCTTACCCTGATCTTCAGAAACCAGCACTGCCTACTTCCAGGATCTGTCTCTATTTTCTCCACTGGCAGTCTGCCATCAACTCACCTACATGAAGGTGATAGGGTTGACCCAACCTATTTTCCAACAGCAGCATCAGATACTACAAATAATTGCACTGAATGAATGAGTTAGAATTGCAATCCAGCAGGTATAACGGTACCTACGAAATAAAGAGCACTCAGAAGTTCTAAGACCGTGGTCATGGTATATGGGCAAATAATGAATGCATGGAAACAAACTAACAGATGAAGAGAACCCTAATTAGTGTTAGTCCATATGTTTTTAACCACTGGGTTTCAGTTGTTACAAAAGTTATTTTCAAAAAACAAGAAGAAAAATGAAAGGTCAGCTCCAAAAGTAATGCCTCTTATTTTGTTATGTTAGCCCACAATGTCAGAGGCAGATGCTGATGGTATGGCAACAGAGGCTGAACCCTCCCACCAATATTCCATTACAGTTTGTTGCCACGTGACAAATGGCAGCAGAGAGGAAGACTGAAAGAATGGTGTCTGACATTGAAGTGCATATGAAGCAAAGGCATATAACTGAGCCCTTCACATAGAAGAAGTTGCACCCATTGACGTTTGCTGATAATTGCTGAACATTTATGGAGACCAAACAGTGGATGTGAGCACAGTGAGGCACTGGGTGCTGCTTTTCAGCAGCTGGCAACAGTGACATGAAAGACAAGCCACAACCCAGATGGCCATGCAGATTGTTAGGAGTGTTTATCATTGGCAAACATGCACAGCTAATTGTGGTGTGACTGTGTCAAAAAAACAGTGTTTTGTAGCTGAGAATTTGCTCTATCAAATAGTGTTATTGTGCTCTTTGTACCTGCTGCAGTTTCCATGGAAATAAGCAGAAAGATTTGCTTTCAGAGTGACCTATGCATTTAAAATTACCTAATTATCACACTATCTCAAAGGCTAAATGAAAGACTAGCTGAGGGAGAATGAAGAGATGAGGGACACAGGGAGGTGTCCCTGCCGATAGCAGGGGGCTGGAACTAGATGATCTTAAAGGCTCCTTCCAACCCAAGCCATTCTATGATTCTATGAAATTAAAATACTATTTTTACTCTCCTAAAAATTGTATGTTTTTTTCTTTATTCTTTATTCTCCCTAAAACTTAAATTCCTGCCCCTTTGGTCTTATATTTCAAGAACAAAAAAAAAAACAACAACCTACAAACGTATTAAGAAACTCAATCATATCAGTCAAATTAGCTAAGTCCTGGAGAAATCACTTGAGTTTTTCCTGCTAAAGACTGTCTGAGCTGACACTTTTACTGCATACACAGCACATTATCAAAGCAAGCATGCTCACCTCACAAAGAAGTGCAAGAGGCCACTGCACTCATCTTATGTAGCACTTAAACATTATTTAAACAGCCCGTGGAATGAATTAAACTATCCAGTTGCAAAGACCTGAGATTAATATTTGCTGAGAGACTGAAAAATTAACCCTAAGAGCTCACTGAACTCAACAGCAAAGCCATCAGTTACTTTCAGCAGTAGAAGATAGGGATTTAGCGTATGGAAGTCGCAATCTTGCAGGGAGTTTCTGGGCCCTTGGAAAATATGATTGATAGCAACAATCAGATATGGAAACAGATGAGTTTTCATAGCTCCCTACCAATCCAGGATTCATTACAATTAATATGAAGTACATCACACATTTACTAGATAAGGGGATTTTTGCTAAACACCTTTTCTAATAAAATAGCATGGCAGCTGAAATATGAGGTTATCAACAAAACTGTATTTGAGAGGTCTTTTATATTTTTCTACATGTACTGATGATTCTCTCCATGAATGCAATACCTACCTTTAAATTAAATTCACCATAAGAAAATTTATTCCACATGGATAATACGTTCGCTACTAGGAAAACATTCTGTAGAATATCCTTTTTTCTGCCAAACTGAAATTTGATAGTTAGCTAACTTATTAGAAGAATTTTGTTTTGCATTATTACTGCCAGCACTTTGCTGGCAAAATCATCTTTCAAATGCACTGCCAAATGTGTTTGAACACTATGATGTTGGATGAAAATAATTCTATTCAGTATTTTTCCATATTTCATTTAGCTGTGTTTATTCAGTTTTCAGAAGCAGAGATGACTTTTAAAAAGTGCTTTTAGAAAAGTGCCATTTGCGTGCCCTGTATCCCACAAGGCCTGGTCAATAGTGCTGTATTATTGCACACCAATAATACTGCACACCAATACTGCACACCAATAATGCACACCAATAATGCACACCAATAATGGGCTTTAGCATAACTTCAGTTTTAAATTTGCAATTCACCTACAGAAGTTCATTCTATTTCCAGTGTTGATGAATGTTCTCACGTTATTCTTCCAAATTCTTACTGTAAGCTTAGTGCAATTTTGTCAACGTCACAAAGTTTATCAAATGATGCGAAAAGAAACGATACATGCACATAGCATCAGGAGGAATCCAATAATAGCAATAATGATTAATTTCAACTGTTACAGAGAAGCGCTTTTCAAATACTGAACAGCATTTAAATCCCAGATCTCTTTGATCTGTCAAAGCCCATAAATATGAAATGCTTTCTCTATAAAGAAAAAAGACCAAACAAACAGCATTAAAGAATATAAAGATGATTACAATTCTCTAGCAATTTTTATGAGACATTTTAGGAGACTGAGTAGTTACTAATACGATAACCATCACCATCACCACATGAACATACCCACGCTGCTGCTGCCAGTTCCTTCATTTTCGTCGTGAAAGCCACGGCAAACCTAGTGAAATGGACAAAAATAGCTGGGATCTGCTGCTTAAAGTGTTTGAACATAACAAACACAGAAGTATTTCAGAAAAAAAAAAAAAAAGATATATATATATAAGAAGAATGGAAGCTTATAAAAATAATGATAGATGGAGAAACAGAAAGTAGGCTTTCTATTTTTACTTAACCAGAAAACATTGGTAAAACAAATGGTCTTTCTTCAGGCTTTAAGTGAATTTACAATTTAGAGCTCCCATGGAGTTAAAGTGATGATTTTCTTAAAATACGGGAAAAAAATGGGAACACCCTGTAGTTTATCTGGATTAATACATGCAGCTGCAATCTACACAAATCAACATGAATAAGCAAACAAGGGTGTACCTGAACAACTTCATGGGTAGGATTTTTTCACCTGGGAGAGAGAAGAAAACTGCTCCCGAGCCTACTTACACTTTTGCCTTATGTCTGCTTACCAGGGCTCATCCTGACACTTACTTGTGTGCCTTAGAGAAAAATTCAGCACACTTCCATCCCACACAACAGAAGAGTTATTTCAGAAACCATTTAAAAGCAGCATTGATATCTACAGTCCTCCTTTTTAGGCATCTCATTACACAGAGATTTCAACCACAGAAGTCTGATATCTAAACTTACCAAAGAAACAAGTAACTCTAACTGGGAGCTTGATGTAATACCCAGAAGTCATATGAGATACTTTTATGGAGTCAGATTTAATAAAGAATCTTTGTTCATCCTGAACTTTAAGGCAACTTTTTAGATGTCATTAAATACAAACATGCTTTGACTGTTCTTAAATGGAGCTTCAGTCTTAACTGGAACCACAGATGGTTCATTCCTGAAGTCTATCAGTCCTGTAGAATACATAGGTTTGAATGGCTCATTCATATCGGACATAATTTGTCTCTTTTACTAAATAATTTTTTTTCATCACTTTTAAAAACATTGAATATAAATCATAAGTTATCAAATAAAAAACTTAAGACTCATGTTTCTATTTCGTGGTATTAATGCAACATTTCCATTCTGAGATATCTCTGTAGTATCACAAATGCAAGAGGTGCAGCACACTGCTAAGTCCCAGCCAAAACAGTGCTTTTCCACTGGAGATGTTATGCTACAATTCGAGGGCACTCATTAGAAGTCACATAAATGCTGAGTTATAACTCCTGTTTTGTTTGTTGTGAGCAGACTTACTCCCATACATTTGTTTTGTAGTGTGTGCTTTATAGTTTTACAATGCATTCTACATATAAAACACGACAGCTCTACGGTTATTGAGGCCTTTGCGAATGCTTGTTTTCTCAAGATGCATCTGTTTCCTTTCTAGTTTTTGCAATTATACTTTCAATACATCATGTTAACAAGCAGAAAAAACTGTTGCTCCCAAGTCTACAAAATACTATTCAATAGATTTAAATACCCTAAAGGAGTACAGCCACCATTTAGAGGAATTTGATTAAAAACAAAACACTCATTATAAAGCCAGAGAATGCTCAATACTTTGTTTTATGGAACGTGGTGTATATTGTACTGGACAAGTAATCTACAATTCATTGTGCTTTTTGCTTAGAACCCTGCAATCAATAAAGAAAAAAAATCAATTTTTCTTTTAATAACTATGCAATGAATAATACCAGTGATAATATTGGGGAAGAGATCCATTGAGTGTAACTTCTAGAAAACTGAATTACTTTTACTGCAGCGGAGTTATGAATTGCATAGAGCATGCACTAATGCATTTTGAAACATCAGAGGAAATCCAAAACTACACCTCAAGTATCTAAATTAATTACCATTAAAAACAGCACAAAAATTGGTTCAGTATGGTTTTGTATAAGCTGCATGAGCTACACTGGTGACAGATCATGCTTAAAACACAGAACTGGATCAGAATGGACACTCACACATTCTCTTTTGAGATATTTTTCCAATTTCCAGTGCTGAAATCTAATGTTCTCATTGTAACCAACACATTAAATGACTTTCTTCTCTTTCTTAAAAACTGTTAATACAATACTTTTTAATCATAGGACAACAAAAAAGTATAAATATTTTGTTTTAAATGAGGCCATAAGGTGATTTTCAACTGCAAGTCCCATTAAGACATAAGAACGTACCCTACTGATTTTCCAATGAGCATCATTAAGCACTGTCTTTGAAATCTGTTTACCTACCACATTTCTCAAGTCACTGCAGACAGAACAGCATAGCAATGCCAGAGGTAAGTTAGCTAATAGTAGCGAGAACATACTGTGGTATGTTCCTCCACACTCCATACAGCTGAGTGACCTGCTGCAGCAGATTAGTGCCACTAAAATAACATCTTTGTTGACTTTTCAAGTTAAAGCAGTAGAAAACTAATCCAGATGAAAAGGTCTAATTTTACAGCAGCTAGTGAGTTAGAGCTGCTCTGAAAGCAGCCCTGGCACACAGAAGCCTGGGACGCAGCTACAGGAAAGAACTGATGTAGGACAGGAATGCAGGTAAAGTCATCCTGTCATCAGTAAGCAATTAGTTGGACTGCACATGAGGAGACAACAGTGTGTGTCTTAATAAGACTTAGGCCATCTATTTAATTTTTTGCCCTATTTGAAACATTACATCCATTTTACTTTGGATTCAAACACAAGAAAGGACTATAGCCTCACTATGGCTATGATCAAATACAGTTAAAATCAACTGACTTTTGGACCAAGCAGAAGTTTTTTTTCAGAGGGATGTTGAAATAATGAGAAATGTTGTAAAATCCCCTCTGGTTTTCTATTGTTTTCACTGATTTCTGATCAGTTCTTAACCACATTTGATGACTCCACTGACACAACACTGGAATTTCTCCAGACTTTAAAACCCCCTGAAAATACTCGCTTCACAATTCGCCAAAAAAGCAGAGAGAATTTGTGTAAAGATTTTTTTCTGTCTTTGCTTCTTTCTTTATGCAGTTAGAAAAAGGATCACATTAGCAGGAAAAAAGAACAAAAGCTCTCTATACTTCAGTCAGCTGCGCACGCTGTCAGCACATCAAGCGCAAGGCCTCTGAAAGCAAGTTTGACTCTGGGATGCAACCAGATAAACACCAGTTATTTTTAGTTGTCTGCTTCTCAAACTGAGGAGCATTTTTATCTGTGTGTGTAGATAGAATTAATCTCTGAAAATATAAAATGTCTAAAATGGTTTTAGTAAGACTTTATAATGTGACTGCATGCAACATTTGTACCCCAAACAAACAGAGTAAATAAACCACAGCCAAGCTTCTACAATCCACAGTTACACTAAACATCAAAGACTGTCTTTATAATGCCTACCTATGAAGTAGATATGCTGCCAAGTCACAAGTTAAGTATTCTTGCTACTATTCATCTCATTTGTACCTGCCTTAGAATTTTATACCCTCATCACATGCATAGTTATACTGTTCTAGAAAACAGTTATGATTCAGTAGAGATAGCACAGGACTGGTACACAAAAGCACAAAATTCATTACTTTTAATGTGATTTGAGTCATTTTGGAAAGTTGCAGCCAAAGATGCCAAGCTTTACCACTACTTCTGCCAACTCTTATGTGGACAAATACAACGAACAGAGGAAACATAAAAAGAAAACAGTGCATACGGACTATATTTCTATAAAGAAACTGTATTACAAAATCGTAAGAACTAGATTGAGCTCACAGTGATGTCAAGTTGCTTATCCTTTGTCCATTGGCTTACATATCTCCCAGAAACTCCAAATATTTATGGAACAGTTCCTACAAAATCTGCCTTTAAGACATGTAATTTCCTGTCACAAACCTTCCACAGATTTTACCTGGCTTCTCCTAGCACTGCTCCCATTACCCGACGTTTCTCTTCACTTCTGATGTCTTCATTTATATCTGTTCCTCCAAAGATGATTCCAAAAGGAATTCTGCTACCTGCAAAACAATGACCAAGGTGAGAAAAGGGCATTAAGAGTGAAAAAGATATATTGACAATACCATATCACATATTTAAGCAAAAGGCTTTGAAATTGAAATGTGCAGAAACTTATTTTTTATGGTTTTGGCACTGACAAGAAACATCCAATAACAGCATGTCAGCCTGTTTTGTAGCTATGAGACTTTCTTTGGCTTTGTCCACACTTAATAATACAATCAATTACTTTCTACATTTGGCAGCCCACCAAACAGCATGTATATTTCAAATGGTATTCACATTTTCATAAGATACAGTGCCTCAAAGCTGTGTTTGTTCTAAGTATCTAGCCTCAGCCAATCAATCCCTGCCCTCCCAAGCATTCCAGTATAATGGTTTGGGTGGCCAGTGTTATAGCTGCTAAATTGGTACATGGAGCCATACCATCAGAAAGTCACCCAACTAAATAAGGCAGCATATGTGAAACTTCACCAAAACCACCATTTTGCTTAATTCCATCCAAAAAAGTAGATCTGTGTTTATAAGTGGTTGCTCCAACACCTTTTGTGATACCCAAGTTCTGGAAGGTGCTGTAGGATGCCCAGAGCTCAGAACAACAAGAGCAGAAGGGCGCATGGTGACTGTGCACAAGATCTTATCAACACACAAGTTTTAAAGCATGAGTAAAAGCACAGATGACCCACAGTGGTAAAAGCCTAGTTTTGATACATGGCATCACAATAAATTAATATTTGATACAAGCCATGACCACATGATAGTGAGCACTTCTCTGCTAACAGCAGTAAGCCTCACACAGACAAGGCCAAAGATGGTGAAAATACAAAAGCCAATAGCAATTTAAGATTCCTTTCTAATAGCATTTGCTTTCCTGGTGCCAGGTTCTTTTTAGTGACTGACAAGATACCAAAAATGTTCTCTCCTTAAACTCATGAAGGCTGCAGTCAATAATGTTTACTGTTGATTGTTTCAGCACTGAAAACAATTAAGTGGTCAGTTTCCACCACATTAAGCTAACAGGTAACAACCTGAGGTGGCTAATTACTACATGCCTAACATGGTTTTAAATTCTAAGCAAATGGCACTCCAGCAAGAGAAGCCCCAGTACATAAGGCAGCAGAGATCATCACACAGCATTATTTTCGTATTTGTATTCTCGGATCCCTACTGAAATCAGAGCTCTACTATAACAAAAGATACACGAGAACACTAGACATAATAATGCAGGCTTTCCAAAAGCTCACCAGCATGAATTGCCTGGGGACTGCTAAGTCTGAAACCAAGAACCACGCAACTTACACTGAGATTTGATGAAACTATCAAATGATGTACCTTTGTCCACGTGAATAGGTTTGGACAATGGGAATGTGATCTCAAAAATGGATACACACTTGCAATTTCAGTAGGTGACAGTGTCTGTAATTTTGAAGCTGGTGCTTCAAGTGTATCATTAATGACAGACTAAAATTTCGTTCTACATGGCCAGTTACTACAGAACATCTTATTATTTGTCAGATAACATTCCGCCTCCTAGAATTTAGCTGGCATAAACCACAACTGCAAGTTATTTCACGTCCCCAAAAAACTCAGACTCATTTTTCAACAGAAAAATCAGATTAGCCTCTGCTTTTTTTGAGTTTGACCTGAGCTACACTTAGCCAAGCTGCTGTCCTCTGGAAAAGCACCTTTGTTTAAACTATCTTAATGCTAATATGATGCTCTTATCTTAATGTAGTTTAAGTACTTAATTGTAAAATGCATTATGTGCTTTAGAAGTACATTTATTTAGATCTCCCACAGAGAAAGACTTTCAGTGTTTCTGAATACTTGTTGAAGTGGATAAAGACAATAAGTTATGTGTGGGTTTATGCATGTATTGTCTTTTGTAACAGTTTGCACTTATTTTCTTCTTTTTCAATACATTTTAGGAGGTACTTCTAATGCAAAAGAGGAAGAGAATTACCTTGCAGATGTCTGCCTCCTTTATAAAGATGAATGGCCAGGGCTGCATCAAATTGATCTGGAGAGGTTAGATTCGCTATTTCAGTCAGACTTTCACACCTGGAAGCATCTTTGAGAATGCAGATGTGACCTGCATCATGCAGATGACTCCTTCGTTATAAGAACAGATAGAGCAAGAGAAAGAAAATAAATAAATAAATAAAATGAATGTTGCAGGCATTCAATTACATAATGTTTTCCCTTAGTTTTTGTTCCTATATTAATTTTCTTTATAATAATTTTGTTCAGGTGACCATGAAGCTAAAGCAAGGCGTTTTCCTGGAAAAGGTCTTCACCACTGTGCACACAGCCATACATAGTAGCCCACACACACCTACTTTAAGGCCCAAGACTATCAATGCTTGGGGAATCAGTGGATGTGAACTCTGGACCAGCACCTCTCCTGTGTCATTATCTGCTCAATTTGCTAAAAAGATTACATTTGAATAGAGAGTGAGAGTCTTGGTCTCGGATAACCTCAGACCCTCATTCTGGAGAAAGGCCCCAACAAATACGTCCAGCTAAATAATGCTATTAAGAATACCTGTTCCTGTTTGCAGGAACAAAAAATGAAGGCATAAATAAAACTGGAAAGTTAAAACTGTTTTCCTTCTCTGTTTGATTGTGGGCTCGTCTCCTGCACAGGTTTATCCCATTTGTAAAACAGTCACAGGATAATTGAAGTTAAAAAAAGACACCAAAGTAATTACACGGAAACTTTCACAGTCTTTAGAAAAAAGTCTCAATTACAAAAATTCTCACCACAAACCACCTATCTTGGTGCCAGCTTACCCATTCATCTTCATTTACAGCAGCTCCTCCTATTAAAAAATTGATTCAAATACTGCTGATGGATTGCAGGGAGCTCTGCTTTCAGCATTTCCACAAGCTTTGTCTCAGACTTTCCTTAAATACACTCGCCTCATAATTCCTCCCACAGAAACCACATCCACTTATCAGTTTCCAGTGCCATCAGCCAAAAAACAGGAGTAAAATCCGTGTTTTGATAGGAACTGGCACACTGCATCAGCTGACATAGAGATAACATCGCTTCAAACAAATAACGCTTATGTTTTCAGTATTACTAAATACCACAAGGATGTTTGTTATGTATTACGTATAGTTCCAGCTGATTTTTTCCTCACAGAACAGTAATTGTTCTGGCACTAAAATCTTGCTAACTCAATAGCTCCTTGGATGATGTTGGCTGTTTCCTTTCTCGATCACTTCATATCCTCCCAAGGAAGGGAAGATATTTTCTGTCCCGCAGAAGTTAGTCATTATAGCAGAAATCAGTGCTAAAAATGTTGTATAATATCATGAGGTCTCAAAAGGAATGAATTAGCACTATATCACACAGAGCTCCATCAGCACAACATATGGTACTGTATTTCTTCTTCACTCTAAAAAGAAACTCCTTTTGCTTTTAATTTCACCATTTAAAATAGACCAAGGAATTGCAACTAGCACTAATAAATAACAAAAAGCAACAAGACCAAAGCTCTTCATTTGCACTCTCGAGCAATCATTCACTTCCATTGCCCCCCTGAACTCCCACCAAGCACTGCTTGCCATCTGAAAGAGGCTCTCCATTTGTATCTCAATAACAACACCCAAGCCTCACAGCTGTGGAAGGAAAATCTCTGGGGCAAGTAGCTGGGATGCTGGTGCACGCAATCCCGAAGTTCACAGCTGCTCATTAAATAGTGTAAAAGGTGCTTTCCCCCATCGGTGTTCCAATTACATAAATCGCTATCACATGCAAGCAGTATGTCTGCGTAGTACAATTAATTTGAGAATAACCCTCTCAGGACATCAGGAATCTAGAAACTCTGCTGAAAATTGTGATCTAAATCTTTTTTTTTGGTCACCTACCAGGAACGAGACTTTTCTCCACATCTCCAAACCACGCAACTGAATGACAGACAGCTGCTTGTGCTGTGAGCAGAGGGGGACTCCCTCATGTGCTCCAAGGCTCACAGATTGTGGATTGTCTCTATTGCTTTTTGGTGTTTTTTTTTCCTACACAAAATGACTCAGGAGTACGTAAGAAATTTGCATGTGGCTTAAGAAGGAAAAATTATGTAATCATCCCCAGAATAATTTGAATTCCCAGACATTAAGAGACCTTCATCCCATAAACATACCACTGAGTTCAATATGATTAGTCATAAGCTCCAAATTATGCATATATGGAAACATATGCAGAGTTACAGGGTGGTGTTTGAGTACTGAAATTTACAGTGCTATTTTTTTTTTATTTTTTTATTTATTTATTTATTTATTTTTTTAAAGATGACTTTTCATCTCTATAAGCAAAAAAAAAATAGCAGACTGCGATTTTCACACACATTCTGTTATCATGGAACACGATAAGAGGGTGCTGAAAAGATATTGCAGGAAATTTTTTTGGAAGGCTGGTCTGCCTATGAAGTCACAGATGTCCCTGAACAAAGCCAAGACATTAGAGGATCACCACCCCTATCTTTTCTCCTCCTAGAACTGCGTATTCACATTATTTCACCGTCTCATAAACAAATAATGTCTACATGAAAAATAAAAGTGAACTCCTCCTCTCTGTGAATCTAAAGCCAGACTGAAAATGTCAAATTCCAAGGCTACACTTTCGCTCTATCACAATTCTGAACGCAGCAAATAGATTTCCAATCACCTTAACTCCCAATAACTACTGCATGGATACGGATTTTGCCCTGCTTTGTCATACCTTCCTCTACTACACAGACACCAACAGTCCTACGTGGGGAGAAGGATATTTCTAAATAGGAGTTTGGCTGCCAGAATCCAACCTTGGGTGTTTTGCTAGAAAGTATCCCATCTGGGAACATCTCAGACACACAGTAAGCTTGGAAGAGAATTTCTTAGAGCAGATTGTAATAGTCACATCTTACCCTGTGATCTTTATTTACATCTAAACACCACTTAAACATTTCCCAGCCTCATCAATTTTTGTACTAAGAGAAGCCACCTGGATTTTATTTTATTACTCTCCTTGGAAATCAAGAGACATATAACAGACACTTACACGTGTAAGTGCTCTGGATCTATACAGTGTGCAGAGGGATATTGCTGAAAGTTGCCATCTCGATGATCTGACGCACTTTTCACTTTGTTAAAAACTACAGAGAAACAGTTTTTTCTACCACACCTACAAAATACCAGGTGATGCTTTACAACATCTCATTTTTTCTTTCCTATATTATCGATCACTATTTCTCCCTTCTTATCCTGGCTCAGAAAGCCTCCTAACCCTGCATTGTAACTTCAATTCAGGGTCTCAGAAACTCTTCTGCAGCTCCAAACAGCACGGCTGGAGCTAATTTACAAACAAGTTAGAAGTGTGCTTGCTCATAAGATACTGCGGTTTTCAAACCTGTTTTCTTTTCTTCCATCTCCTTCTCAGGAACATTTATGTTCTGATACTTGAATGGAATTACTCACAGCACAAAATAGGGATCATCCAAAAATATTAATTACCACTTCCCCTAGGCTGCCCACTCTGTAAAGCAGCTACGCATGAACTATTGTTAAATCTATACAGCGTGATCCAAAGCTTATTAAGTCAGCAGAGCGACTTTCTGAGACTTGGCTACAGTCGAATACTCACAATTGCCACTGAAACTGGTCGAATTACAAGAGTTGAAACCCCACTTGGTCTTTTCAGTTTCCTTTGTAAATTGTACTCTTTTGTTGTTGTTGTACCGTTTTTTTAATATTCTTTATTTTACTTCTCACTCTAGCTTCTCCTTTGAACAATGCAGACAATTCATGCTGGCTGGAAGGAAGCATGAATAAAATTTACTGTGAGTAAGAACAGAAATAAAAATGAGACTGATACTGCTTCAGCCCTGAAGTCCTCTGGAAGGCCAAAATAACTGTGCAGGGTTTAATCCTGCCTTATAAATGGGTCCAGCCACAGGAAACATTCATGGACATAATGCCGCTAGGGCAGAAGAACAGCAGCCCAACCAATGGCTTTTGCTTTGCCTTTATTCTCTATCCGCTGCTCAGATTTTTCAAAGTGATTAAAAATTACGCAGACCAATACAAATAAAGCTCACAGCACCTCTATCATACCACTTGTTTTAGTGAACTGACTTCTGGCCAAATTAGATTCCGGTATCTTTGTCACCAGCTAGTTTAAACTCAGGAAATGAATATATTATTTATGAAAATAGCTGTAATAACATAAACATAGTATCCCCAGTGATATTAAGCCATAAAATTAATCTATGCTGGCAAGTGTCCAACCCGGAGGCAACATCATTGTTTCATGTATACTCAACTGAAAGTCGGGCACAGTTCAATATGAAAGAGGAAAAAAAAAAAAAAAAAAAAAGGAAGATTGAACAAATAAATTCAGAAGCATGCAGACAGACACAACCAAAGCTAAATATTAATTTGAATATACATTCTCTGCAGGGTACAAGTTAATACACAAATGTTATCCATATGAACCTGACTTCAAGTATGGCAAATTAGAGAGGGAAGCAACACACCCAAGCATTTAGCCATACACGTTGATACTTTTAAAAGGCACAAAGTTTTAATAAAACCCATGTTAAATAAAAGTATCTGAGTAAGATGGTTTTATTGGTTTAGATGCTGTACTAAATGTTGGTACTGGATGACCTCAGAGGTCTTTTCCAGTCTTCGTGACTCTATGATTCTGCTGGTAGCTGTCATTTAGCAGCCTTTTAGTCAGGGAGATTTAATTGATAGCTGGTACTCCTTACTCCTTTTCCCAATTAGATTTCATTTCTTAAATGGGCTCCTTTATATTTCTACTATAAACAAAATTTACGTCGAGTGATAAGATAGCAACTGAACATAAGCTACTGATTCTCAAAGACTACTTCTGTTAGAAATCTTCATCTATCTTCATCTTGAAAATGAATCAAATTAGCCTTTCCTTCACAACTTAACTTTCTGTCTGAAGGTCTACGAGTAAGCAGCATCCATTTTGTGCAAGGCACGACTGTGAGCACTAGGATGCTGAAGCAAGTT